CAACACATAATATATATATATATATATATATATATATATATATATAGTGTGAGTCATTCTCTACGATGAAATACAGCAAGGCGAAATTCAACTGACCAGTTGAGAATGTAGAGTTCAAATCTCTGATTGACATGATGATTTATTTTGCGCACAGTTCGGTCTACGACGCCTGTGCAACACACACACGCACACACACAGTAATGGATGCATTCCCAAAAACGTCAATACGTACGGTAATTGCGTATCAAAACCCTGTAAGGAACAAAATTATTAACGACAGACAATGTTTGTGAAACTCACATTCAGACACACAATGCTCCAATAACTCATACAGACAGGTCACACGTTCGCACGTTGATTGAATCAGGCCCAGTATACTGGCAAATGTGGCGGTGAATCGCTGGGGGAGACAAGCAATGCACAGGATAAATGGATATAAGCAGTAGGCTGTGGTCTCAGTGACAGACACGGAGCGGATATATCGTACGCATGTTCAACGAACAGATCGGAACTGACAGCGACCGCATATGCGACAAGCTGACAGACCGGAACACGTAATTAGCTTTAGATTACTGAGGGAGAGATTACCAGATCAAAAACTAACTAACGTCTCAAAATAGATTTAGTTAGATGCATAATTGCTCTCGCGGGGTGCGGTGGATGGGCGAGACTCAAACGACATCAGCTCCAAACTACCAGTAACAGTTAAAATAACCCACAACGCAGCTGAATTATTCACCATGGGATTACACAATGCACGATTGTATATGTTAAAACATGTGCGTTTCTCTCAATCAGTTATTCCTTTGAATGCATATGTATTGCTTCTACTTGCTCATCTAATGCTCTCTCTCTTCATTATATAGAATGAATGCGTAGATACTTTTGTTCGTATTATTTGCATCGATATTGAAAATGTTAATATGGCCACATTTTCTAACAACTTGGGATTTTCAAATTGTTATCTTCTTCACCACCAGAGTTGATGCATATCTGGATCTAGGTTTGGTCAACCTTCTTTATCTAGTTCATGCGGAATACTCGCTTCTGTTGGGACCTATCATCAAGAAAAACTTACAACTCACGACAGCATTCTCCAGTGAAACTTCAGAAGCTACGAGACATGATTGGTCACACCAATGTTTCTGTTGTCAGATTCCAACCTTTCTGTTTTCAGTTTGAACAATTTTTAATCATGCAGTTTCACACGACGATCTTGGTTGCTGATTTTGGGCTGCCCATTTGGATGTTGAAAGCAGTGCGAAGGTGAAAATAAAGATTTCTGACAGACTAAAATTGCAAAGGCAATAAGTAGATGCACGAGCGCTATTGTTAACTGCAGAGCCATATCATTCAGTTTCCAAACATACGTTATATGTTGTCAATGAGGTCCCATTCAGAACACCTAATGTTGTCCGTGTGAGCTATTCTCCCGGTCAGGGTTTTCATATCGGATGGTAAAAAACCTAGGGAGCACCTGATCAAGCACGTTTTAGTTTATCACTGTCAAATTTTTGAAACATTCTCTAAGTGAGCCTACCAGATTGTTACCTATTCGTATATGATGACCTTAGTGTCTTCTCTCATACTCCAACTGTTCTCCTCAAAAGCGTACTGTTAGGACGGAGCGGACAAAATCCGTCCTGCCACGCAGCGACCCACGTCACACCATAAGTGCGCTCGTGACGCCCAAGCCAAATCGACTCCTGATTGGACGACTAAGGCGAATCAAATAATTGTCGTCCGATCGATCAACCTGAGTGTCAAGGTCACGATCTGATTGGCGCATCACCACGTCCGTTCGCGTACGCTCAATTGACCACACATATTTGCTTGTTGTTTCATGATAAAGAATACACACTGATTGTCGTTTCTCAGCAGTGTTCTTCCTCCAGTTGTTGGGGCCTAGACAAAGAGGCGCACGTATCAATCTTACATAAGACATAAAACATACAAACATTCGTAATATACGGCAGGAGGATGATTTCAGGTAACACGATCCGAGTTTGTGGTGCCAATAAGGCTGTCAGGATGCCGATAACAAAACCCTCTCTGAAGTATCGAACCAACTCATAAATTCGACCCAGCACAGACGCTCTCAGTGCCCAGGTAGGAGACACTTCGGACAGCAGGTTCTCCGTGGATGGGGGAGTTCCAAATGACCTGCCAGTCAGGGTAAATAGAAAACAACCGTGGCAGTAACAGTCTTCCGCTTCGTGTGCTCGGTGTGGGTAACGGCATCACGAATGACATTCTCCAAGAACACCTTCAAAACACCACGAGTTTCCTCGTAGATCAGACCGAAGATACGTTTCACAACACCACGACAGGCGAGACGACGAATGGTCCTGAGTGTTATCGCGCAAAACCTTCAGCTGACGTTTTGCTTCACGCTTCTCGAATCCTTTACCTCCTTTACCACGATCGCTCGTTGTTAATACGAAATGCGAAAAATGACTGCTAACAGGCGTTTTTTCATTCAGTTAGATTTATCAATAACGCACCTGGCTAGCTGCATACAATCCGCGTATAATATCAAGTTTAACTGATCAGTATGGCTATAGTGTTGCCATAGTCTTCCTGTTGTTATTGTTGTTGTTGTTTCATCGAGAACTTTTTGTACCATTTTGTTCATTGTTAGATATACAGTGGTTATTTGGTTGCTCTGTGCTCACCCATGAAGGCGCATACTTAATTTGACATGAAATGATTCAATCGGAGCAGAGATGACAATTATGGTGATAATCATAGGATAGAAAAATAACAAACGTCTACGGTACACTCCCGGCTAGCTTACCGTCTCGTAATCTCCATATCCGTCCAAGGAGGTTCGGTCGTGCAATAACCGTTCAAGTAGATGATATATTTGCTGTTCGAGCTGTTCGAATGTTTCCGATAGCAACCAGCTTAGACGGTCCTCGCGGGGTACTGAAAATAAGTGAGTGAACAAGTAGGTAAGTGATATCAAGGTCATTGCTTGGAGCGATGATTGATTTGTGCCGTGTGGTCCCTAGTGTACAAGAATATTGGCTGTGCACATACATCGAGGGTTTGCTTGAATTGTAGAAGGTTATTGCTGCTGCTGTCTAGGTCTGGAGACGGTACTGTAACATTTCTGAATGTCTCATGGTGTGGCGAGTCTGAAGTGCGTTTGTTTATGCTCCTCAAAGTACTGCCTATCTAGTTATAGACTGATGCCTAAAATAATCTTTCCGTTCTACTATCTGTCTCAAATTTGTACATTACCGCTTTTGGCTCAGTGTGACAATAACTCAATTCTAGACTGTTTCATTCCGTTCACACCATGTCCTTCTAAACTCAATTAGATGATATTTGATTTTAGTGATTCACGTCTATCCTATGCAAGTGAAAATCCTACTCTAGACAGGTTTAGCACTAACCAGCCTGATAGACTCACTCTTAGTTTGAAGTCTCTCTGTTCTTCTCCCACCGAAAATTTACTTCTTCCGTTCACCAATTCGCTTATTTACTCAGTCGAAGCAGATTAGAATAACCTACCGGACCCGATCACTCAGGAATATCGACCCTCTCAAACTATTCGAATATAGCCGTCCCATTGTTTCAGTCATCTCTCTATCATCTGTGGATATCTCCACTGACACGGTTGATGACATTCTCGACCTGTGCCGTTGCCACAGGACTCTGTATCTCCACAACGATAGAATGACCCTCTACAATTGAAATCTTTGCGAAGATAGAGTGCGGTCGCCTACAAATAACAAAATTCGTCCACAGGACATCGACTATCCCATAGGAACAAGTGCGGAATAAATCTATTGTTTGCAGGACGATTATTGAAAAGCAAGAATAAAAACAGTTTAGAAAGGGACTCATCTCATCTGTGAACAAGGTAAATCTGCCCAACTTCACAGAGCTGACATCGATCAGTAGAACTCAGCTTGCATTTACTCATCCTCGCACAAACTTGAGTCCCATCAGACTACTCCAGAACCGACTGTTTCTACACAGANCCTCCTCCAGTAACCCCACGTCTCCCTCCCCCCCCCCGCAAAAGAAAGAAAATATGCGCAATGACCATGGTGATCTATCCACTGCGAGTATGATCATCAAATATGGTACTGGCGCACTGACTGAGGTAATGACAGCTCTCGTCAATAAAGCCGTTGACTCTGTATCTCCACAACGATAGAAAAATCCTCCACCGTTGAATTCATTGTGAAGATATGTCCCATATATTCCATTCCCAATGTGTGGAGATCTGGCATTGTGTTTTCCATCAACATTCTCGGGTCAACGTGCCCAAGGGTAGTAACAGGATCATGTAAAAAAACGTTTTCCGCAACAAATCACATTAAATAAATGACTGCTAAGATATAAGGAATATTTATAAGTTGTGAGGGTATGTTGTATCTCAACTGGACGACGAAGTTGAGAATCACCTCAACCCTTTAGCAAGGAAGACAGTTCTGAAAGAAAACAGAGCAGAGATCAAAATAAGTAGTAGTCTGGTTACCTGTGTCCTGTTCGTGTACCTTTGGGTCGAGAATCATTCTTGATACACCCTGATGTATTATGCTTAGTACGTAAATCTCTTATTGGTTGATTTGAAATCAGTGTATTTTTCCAAATCCCCTAAAATAAACTCAGTGACTCACCAATCGGATTATAGCCCTGTGTGTTAGTTTTTTACTTTGGTGGAAAAGCGGCTAGGCCCCACGAACGTGGAACCTGGGAAGTTCCGCTACCAGGGGCATTCGATGGTATAGGAAAATCTCTCAAGGTAAAAGAGAGCGATGACCAGTCACCATCAACCACTATGAAACTTTCTAAGTGAAACCTCAGTGAAGATTCACATTGGAAGTAGTTAAGGAAACAGAACTAATCCATCGGTACTAAGGACATGAGTCTTCGCATCCAAACGGCTTGTTAAGTAAATCATGAGAGCTTTATTCGATCTTGCGCAAACATGCGTTCAGTAAAGTTAGCACTGTGTTCACCCCCGGATAACAGTCTATTGCAGCGTACCAACCAGTGAGTCTCTGTGTGCTGACTTTTGGAGGTAAAACTGGTTCTCTAAACCAATATCTTAAGCATTGCAGTCTCAATATCAGAGGATTTTGATGAGGCTTCCATTTTGCATGGCGTGGAGTAGTGTCAAGGCAAAAAGAAGCTAGGTTTGTCTTAGAATGTCAATCACGGTAAAAAGCGATCATGAGGCAGGAATAATATGAAACGCACAGAGCGAAGGAGAGAGAGAAAATATTCCCAATTATTTGAACCACGGAATCCAATATGAGTAAGGTATGTGTGTGTGATCGAACATGAAGAGACTTACCCATTCCATGTAAAGTGATCAAACTTTCCAGACAAATACTGGGCAATAGGCAACGCAACAAACGTGTCGAGTCCAAGGAGCGTAGCCATGACAAAATTTGCTTAGCTTCCTGTTCGGCGATCTGACTAGATGTGGCACACCAAGGAGATTTGTTTCTCGCGGACTCTGAACGGAATGAATTCAAGAGAACAGGGGGGGGGGGCAAACATGATCAACCAGACTAATGGGAGAATAATACGATCGCGTTGAAATGATCTATCAGCTATCGAGTACCCACAGTACAAGAAAAACTAAACATTCAGAAAACTGCAAAATCACATATTTGATGGTAAACATGTTTAGACGGACAACAAAAGAGACATCACCAAGGTAGAGCCGTAAAACTGGTTCTCCAGATATTTGGAGTTCAAGACCTCTTCAAGATGCACAATCAACCAAGTGAGATTCATAGGGCGGGCAGATCCAGAGTAATCATATATATATATATATATATATATTATAATGAGCAATATAGTTTATATAAAAGCAAAAGTCAATGAAGTGCATGAAATGAGAGATATGCCGGAACATATATTCAGTGGAAAGACAATGACGCACCGTGTTCTGTGACCGAATCGTTAGAAACTATGTTGGCCTCGTCCACTTGCTCCTCCAGGGCATCCGCGAAAAGCAAATCCTCATCGCCTTCCTCATCCACTCCGACAGTAGATGAGTTGATCGTGGCTGTGGCGGATTTCTGGTGCACTGATTCCTCCTCTTCGTCACGGAAGGTTACACAGTGGGGTGCAACCATAAAAAACAGAGCGAGAGGAAAGAAGCAGTCAAACAGTGTGTAACTCACGAGTAACACATGAGTCCCGAATGCAGTATTGTAACAGAATGAACAGCTGTGTTCAGTTCAAAATCAGTTCCCCACAACCACTGACCCCGCCCTCTCGCGTTGGGGTTTTTATTGACTGTTTCCCCGGTCCACCGATAGAAAACCAACGAGACTGTGCTCCGATAATAAAAAAAGATTTTACTGATATTTATTTCATGGTTGACGTAAGTGTGGTGTACGAGAAAACTTGATGCCTAATGGCGGGAGTGGATGCACGAGCTCTACGACACTCAGTTACATCATCTACCCATTAACCCGAAGTTATCCATCTGAAAACCCAGAAGAAACCGGCATGGCCAAGCTCACTACAGTCAAGGTTCGCATCTTTACTATATCAAGTTATGAACAGATCGAAATGGTTGTTTGTCCAACCAGAATTTTCAGAGAAAGCCCACACAGAAGTTTGCGTGAAACATATTTCAATCATCAAAGTTGCGTACTTAAATTGCTACTCAACCGTGATTAGTCGTTGACCTTCGTCTGATCTCAAAACGGCTAGTTCAGCTTTCCAGCGAGACTTGAGTAAAGCCGATCAGGAGGAAGGTTGTTGAGCAGTAACACTCTTCAGATAACTGCTATACGGAAACGCCTAGTCTCAGATCCATACAAAAGGACTAGGAGAAAGAGTCGTCCGGTACAAACGATAACTCAAATACCAGTGGTCTCAGTGACCACGTAAATGTCGCGACTTGGCGAGCCACTCATCGGACAATGGCCTTGCATTTCCTGTCTATCAGCAATAGTGTTCGAGAGGAACTTACTTTAGCCTCGGAACGACTTCGAGCCAGTAGAAGTCCATGTAAACCATGTTCAGCACGTTCCCGACAATCAGCCATTTGGTTGGGATCAATTAATGTTCGAAGGCTAAAAGACAATCTAGAGAAAGGTTACTTTATCTTTTACGGGATCAAAACTGTTTTCTCCAAATCGTTCACATTTGTATTCGAATCCACCTGGTCTAGGAGAGTTGGCGATCCCCGATTTCAATTTATCCGAGAAGTGTATAAACTGCAATCAGGGTTCCACCACCAGCATCGTCAGCCAAACGGGACACTAACCCTGGATGAATCCAAAACTTGACGCATCATTCCATTGCTTTTTG